CAGCCCAGCCGCCCTCCCGCCTGCTCCTGGCAGGCTATTGTCTGCGCCAGGGACGAGCCAGCCAGCCGGTTACCTGGGGAGCTGGAACCCGCCCCTCCGCAGCCGCGTCTCTCCCAGGAAAAGGCAGTGGCCTGCACGGCAGGCAAACCCCCACCCCACCCAGCCCTTCCCACCGCGGGCGCACAAAGGCCACCCGAGCATCCCGGCCAAGCAGTAACAGCAGGAGCAGGAGCGGGCGAGCAAGGAAGCAGGGGCTGGGGCCATCCCTGGAGCACAGCAGGAGCAGGAGCGGGCGAGCAAGCAATCAGGGGCGGGGGCCATTAGTGCCCTGGAGCATCCTGGCGGGGCTAGATGGCCGCCTGGCTGCCTGTGTGCATGGAGGTACGGTGGGCAGTTGCTCTCAAACGTCGCTGCCTCCCCGCAAAGTCTCCAAGTCCAAGCTCAAGGCAAGCCAAAAGGGGCGCACGCGTGTATGGGAGCGATAAGAGCTAACATCTCTTCTCCCTCCAGCGGCGGGCACTTTCTCCCTTTGCCAACAGTGCACTGTTGAAACGCTTCTCCTTTTCCCTTCAGTGGAAGGGTGGCAAGGGAAGGCGGGAAGACCTTCATGCACTCCCTGTTGGGCTCACCTCTTTTGCCTCCGCCAGGGGAGCAGAGGAAGAGACGGGGACACAGAGCAGACAAAACACCGGCAGAGCGCGAAGCCATCAGGCGGTGGTGATAGACGCTTCCACCCAGCGAAGTCCCAGCGTGTTTCAGAATTCAAAGGCTAGGATTCCGCCGGGAGGCTCTTAATGTCTGGGTCCAATGGCTGTTCATCGTGTGGGGGGGGGAGGTCTGTCTCCGCGGCCCAGTCCAGCTCGGCCCACGGACCGGCACCGGGCCGCGGACCGGGGGTTGGGGACCTCTGCTCTAACTCACTCTGTTCCCAATGGCTGTTGAGGCAGGAAAGCAGCAAGTGGGCAAAGACCAACTGTCATGAACTTAAAGCACTGTTGCTCCACCAGTCATGTGACCTCAGAGGTCATGTGACACCTCATTATGTCCTCAGTGGCATGTCAATAGTGATTTAAATGTCTCTCACACTCTTAAGCCCAACCAGGCTGCTTGCAAGAGTGAAGTAAAAGTCTTGTCCTGTGGATCATAACTACTTCTGCATGGGCTGCTGTTGGGCTGCTTTGTTTTTGTTTTTCTTATAAGCTCATAAATGATAAGTGGTATCTCCAAATGAGCATCCATTAACTATCTTAGTTAATGACATTGAGCTATTTTGTCTACTCCTTTTTAGGTCAAGAGTTAAGAATGGAATATTAGAAGATGTTTTAGAACTAATTGCCATTCAAAGCACTATTTATGTCATAGAACCCTGGTCCAAATTCAGAAAATGTTAGCACTAAAACAAATCTTTTTTTTCTCTCCTCCTGACTTAGGGCACAGTCCTAATTAGCCAAGCTGGCCTTAGGGTGGCTGAACCAGACTCTCTCACAATTAAGAGGGAGATGCCTGTTAAAAGTACTGTGTGCTATTTCCCCCAAATGCAAGTCCTTTCTGCAGCTGCCATGAAACCCATTGCAACACCAGTTTGTGCCGTAGCCCCTCCTAGTGCATCTGGTGCAGTCAGGGTGCCCCCATGATATCTGCCTTTTCTCTCATTTAAGCGTCTATCCACCCCACTGTCTGAAAGAACCACAGGAGGCAGCCAAAGAAAACTTTGTTTATGACATGCCCACCCGTGAGCACGGGGGTGCCCCCGCCTCCCAACTGGTCTGCGCACAGAGCCCGCAGCCCCCAAACGGCATGCGGTCCCAAAAAGGTTGGGGACTGCAGTTCTAAGCTACCCCTGCTAGGGTACAAAGTATTTGAGGATGTTTTGTTTGGACCAGGCCATTAAAGAACCATTAGCTTTACAAAAGAACTGTTTCACATTTGTTGAGATGCATCAGTGCAACTCCTAGAAATTTTGCACTCTCCTTAGTTAGCCCTTTAATTCAAGGAGACTGTCATGATGAGGACTAGCATTTCCAAATTTATTGCTACACTGCTGAGTGGGACCCCTGTTTTACTGCAGGGTGGGCAAATTCCAGGGCCACAGGAGGCAGCAAGTGTCGGAAACAAGACCTTGGGGAACGGCTCTTGCCCCCCCCCCCGAAAGGATACGTTTTTCTTAACAATGTTTTCTTACATCTTCAAAAACCCCTTTGCTTCTCATTTACTCCAGGGAGCAATTTCACCATGTTTTTGGCTACCTCTAAACTGTTATCACCTGGGAGAGGCTTTTGTTCAAAGCCAAAAATGACTTCTGGTTTTGAACATATCCTCACCCTTGCTGCTGAGAATTGCTTTCTACATCTAGGATAATGATGGAACCTCTTAAGCAACATTTGAGGGGAAGAAATTGAAAAAGGTTTTCAGTGATGGTAACAGGCTTTCCTGCTAGGGAGGTATATTTTAAGAAATTGAAAAAGGTTTTCAGTGATGGTGCTGGGGTAACAGGCCTTCCTGCTAGGGACCACTCTCCCTTTAGTTGAAGGGCAGTACTTCTGTGTCCCTCCTCCTCTGCCCAAATCAGAAGAGAATGTCAGTTCTGACAAAAGAAACAAACTCCCCGCAATTTGGGCAGAGCCCACAGTAAGTCTTGGGTGTGTGTCAAAATTGGTGCTTAGACCTGCTAAAGTTGCCTGCCTCTGAAGAAGAGGAACACCAATGTGCAGTGGTCCATGGTTTCACCATACAACCGGGCAGACCAGAAACATAAATGTTCAGGCAGTACTCTAAAGTTTAATTGCAAATATTCTTCATGTGTAGATGCATAAGTATGCAAGAATCATAGGAAAAAGTCAGGTGAAAGGCTTCAAATGTAAACTGTAGAGTGCTGGAATGGGAACCTGATGAAAAAGGAGCATGTACATGTAAACAGTTTGCAAGCTTGTTGAGCTTTCACTGAAGCAACAACCTTTGCATTAGACATTAAGGAAGATCAAAGTTACAGGGGAATGGATTCTATCTCTCTCTCTCTCTCTCTGTTCCATGCTGTCTCCAAAATAAGTAATGCTAGATAAATGTTTCTCACAAGGAAAAAAATGAATCTAAATCTATGGGTGATTTATAGTAGATCATCAAGAATTTCTAATTCCCAGTTTAAGCATAACAGCAACCAGGGCTCATGGGCTTGTAACATGTTTTCTTGGAAAAGGCTCTTGGCTTTCTATTTTGGCAGTTAGGATTTGGCTGCTGTTGTCACAATTGAGTTTGAGGGCCAAATGGCCGCCATGTGGTGAATGAAGCTATTGTTTGGCAAATAGATGAGCTAGTGAAATAAATAATACTCATTTTTATCTCTCTTGCACTCTACACCAGAGTGCATTCCAGTTGGAAAGCGCTCCAATGTAGAGTGCGATAGAAATAAAAATTAATAGTATTTATTTCATTAACTCATCTACATATAATCTTAAGGTTGCTGTTAAATGGATATATATGTACCTGTACATCAACATAAACTCCTCAGAATAAGTGATGATCAAAAATTAATCAACTGCTAACAAACCAGTTAAAAAGATCAAATAAATACACTGGTAGCTAACATCTCTCTACACCTGATACCTGTGGCTCCAGGTAGAAGAGGTAGGTTTTCATCTAAATATATCCAACTCTGGTTCCATAAAAAGGTGCTGAGGGAGAGAATTCCACAGCTCTGGAGCCAAGTGGGAGGATGCCTGAAATAAAGAGTACAGGGTGACCACAAGCATCAAAGATTTCTCTCTTCATCCCAAATAATGGAGCTGGAGAAGTAGAAGACTTGGGAGTTTTCATGTAAAAAGACTTACAAACTCACTTTCTTGTTCTGAGAACTAACTCCTATGCTCAGGATCTTGTAATTCTGATTGCTCGTCTTTTGCACCAGACTCCAGGAGTCATGGGGAGGGGTGCAGGATAGATCCGGAAAGCCTAAAGTTTTCCTGTCCCTTAAAGTTAAGGAATGGGGACATTCAAAGGGATTTGGGACAGATCAGTTTCTTGGCATCAGAATCAAATAGTATTGGACAGATCAGAGGCAGAACATCCCTACGAGATTCTGTCAATTTATGCTCTTTTGTTGCTTGGATTAATATCACCTCAGTAGGGATGGTCATGCAATACAGTGGGGTCTTGACTTGGGAACTTAATCCATGTTGGAAGGCGGTTCTCAAGTCAAAAAGTCTGTAAGTCAAGTCTCCATTGACCTACAGTGCATTGAAAACCGATTAATCCCGTAACAGGCTGTTTTTGTTACATTTTGGTTTTTTTCTGGTCTGTAAGTCAAATCTCAGTCTGCAAGTCAAACGTAAATTTGCGGCCAGAGAAGTCTGTAACTCAAAAAGTCTGTAAGTCAAGCCGTCTGTAAGTCAAGAGTCCACTGTAAGAAACAGGCCTCTGCTTCTCTTTGAACACAAGAATCAGCATTTGTACTTAAAAGTCTGGTGGCAGTTTATGGCTCAGTTACCATGCTGGCTGTGGGATTCTAGGAGTTACACTGTAAAATGTAACTTCTCTGGGCTGTACACAGGGCAGTGAGACAAAGAACAGATGGAAATGTGGACCTCAGGTAATAAAGAAGAGACAGGATACCAGGTGATAATTTCAGTGTCCTGTTTGGCAGCACTAATTTTTAACACATTTTGAGAAAGAGGCTAAGGCTTGCAGGGACAATACTTTGGTCCATGTCTTGATTTGCATGGGAGTAAAGTCATGGGGTTGGACTAAACAGCTCTTTAAGTTGCACCCAGTGTCCACAGAGCATGGTTTGCTTTCGTGGGACCTGCAGCTGGAGCGCAAAGTCAGATTGAGCCTCTGCAGCTGCAGTTAGGTTGCTTGTTTCGTTTTAAATTAGCAGCTTGGATTCTTCAGCCAGAATGCGGGCTTGGCTTACATCTGCAGCTGAGTGTGCCTTTCATTAGGGAACTCCCTTCTGTGGGAAGGTTAGCCCTGGGTCTCCAGCAACATTGTCTCCCTTGGTATTACGATGGAGAAAATAGCGCTGTGTAAATATTTATAAATTCTGTGCACAGGAGAGAGTTGCTTTACCTTCTGTTTACAACAGCAACAGGACTGGAATGAGGATACCGAAGGTTTGTTTTCTTTCTTTCTTTCTTTCTTTCTTTCTTTCTTTCTTTCTTTCTTTCTTTCTTTCTTTCTTTCTTTCTTTCTTTCTTTCAATCTGAGTTTTGATGGAGCTTTCTGTTTGTTTTTGGTGGAATGAAGATAATCTTTAAGCAAACGCATCCCCACCATTTATGTTTTCCAGATGGGGCAGGACGTTATGGGCCAGAATGCATGTGAACTCTTCTGGGCAGGGCAGAAAATGGGGGTGGGGTGGGCGGAATTCGGGCAAGTTTCTTGAATTGCCGTATCCTGCTAATAGGGAGCTACAGCACAGAAGATACTGTGCAAATGCAAATTCTAAGAAGAATCAGTATGGTGTAGTGCCTGGAGTGACAAAGTGTAACTTGAAAATCCATGTCCTAGTCCCTCTGGGTCCTTTTAAGGAGAAAAATGAGGTACAAATATTTTAAATAAATAAATAATAAACGAAGCTTATTTAGTCCAGTCAGTTCTAAGCCTGGCCTATTTCAGAGGGTTGTTATGAACTTAACATGGAGAGGAGAGCCATTTTATATTGCCACACAGGCTCACTCTCATCACAGGAGACAGAGTGGGGAATTGAACTCCCAACCTCTAGCTCCACTGCCAGGCACCTAAGGTTCTGACCTATCCAACCAGTAATACTGTACTTTAGTGGCTTGAAAATACATCAAAGTGGACAGTTTTATGAGTTATTTCCCCCTTCTCAGATGCAACAGCCTCACTGGAAAGTAGAAGATGGGGATTTGTTAATGTTTGGCTTCGCCAATGTCTAGGAAATCCTACATGTGCCTCTATGGGTTCTGGGAAGGAACAAAGGTGGCCTTTATCTACCACAGCACTCCCGCATCCCAAGAATGGATAAACTAAGGATCTCCCCATCTACAGCTGCTTTGGACATCTTGGTTGATTGTTGATGGTGGGAATTGTAATTCAGCATAATTTGATTGAATATCAGGAAAAACTTCCTAACTGTTAGAGCAGTAAGACAGTGGAACCAGTTTCCTTGAGAGGTGGTGAGTGCTCCAACACTGTAGGCATTGAAAAAAAAACTTAGATAACCACCTGGCAGATATCCTGTGGCCTGTATTCCAGCATCAAGCAGGGGGTTGGACTTGATGGCCTCATGGGCCCCTTCCAACTTCATTATTGTATGATTCTATTATGATGGGTGTGCTATGTTGAAGGGAGGCTTCGTGAGAAGATTCTGGAAAAATAAAAAGAAAGATGATTGCAGGGTGGGATGGGGGACAATGCAAGAAAAAAGTAGGACAGATCCCACAAAATTAGTGCAAGACCCACTTGTAATGAGGATGAAATATTGTAGCGAAGGGGAAAGGGATGTGAGAGACTTGAAGACTTTGTGACATGAAGTTATTCTATTCATGCAAGGTCTAGTGTGAGCTGGATGTTCTGAGGTCACTCTTGGAACAGTTGCAGGGAGGTGGGGACATCTTTCTTAATAATCTGGAAAGGTATGCACTGTTTCCAGAAAACAAATGTGCTCAGTGATGCTTTTTCCCCTGAGCATCTCTTTTTCTTCCACTGCAGGCCAATGAGTGGAACAAGAATGACGACCGCCTGCTGCAAGCTGTGGAGAACGGGGATGTGGAGAAAGTCACATCGCTGTTGGGGAAAAAGGGAGCCAGCGCCACCAAGCATGACAGCGAAGGCAAGACTGCGTAAGTAGTTAGTTAAACTGAAGGGGAAACAATCTTTGTCCTTCCCTCTCAACCCATCCATTCGGAATAAACATTTAACATTGTGGGGTAGAATTTCTTACCATTGCATGAATTAAATTCCATTTTGGATCACTGCTATTCTATGCCATGCCCAAGCCATTTCCAAACATTTTTTCTGCTTTACCTTAAATTATTGATGGGTTTTGTCTCCAGTTTTTAATCAGGCACAGACACTTTATACCAAGGTGTTCTTGGATAGCAATGTCTGTTAGCCCCACCCAGCTTCGTCAATCATGAGGAATACTGGAAGGTCCTTCTTTCCTCTGTGTTAAGATTTGCATTTTCTACAGAATTCTCTGGAAGTAGCCATGCTGAATGTTTCTTCTTCCATCTTTGAACGATGGAACCTTGTTGTAAATGCCGGAAGCTCCCAGGCCACCCTAAAATGTGATTCAGCTCTAGCCTTGATGCAATTTAGAGAACATTTGTGCACTTACCTAGGTAAAGTTAAAGGTTCCCCTTGACAATTTTTGTCCAGTCGTGTTCGACTCGAGGGGGCGGTGCTTATCCCTGTTTCCAAGCCATAGAGCCCATTTTGGATCACTGCTATTCTATGCCATGCCCAAGCCATTTCCAAACATTTTTTCTGCTTTACCTTAAATTATTGATGGGTTTTGTCTCCAGTTTTTAATCAGGCACAGACACTTTATACCAAGGTGTTCTTGGATAGCAATGTCTGTTAGCCCCACCCAGCTTCGTCAATCATGAGGAATACTGGAAGGTCCTTCTTTCCTCTGTGTTAAGATTTGTATTTTCTACAGAATTCTCTGGAAGTAGCCATGCTGGATGTTTCTTCTTCCATCTTTGAATGATGGAACTTTGTTGTAAGTGCCGGAAGCTCCCAGGCCACCTTAAAATGTGATTCAGCTCTAGCCCTGATGCAATTTAGAGAACGTTTGTGCACTTACCTAGGTAAAGGTAAAGGTTCCTCTTGACAATTTTTGTCCAGTCGTGTTCGACTCTAGTGGGTGGTGCTCATCCCCGTTTCCAAGCCATAGAGCCAGCGTTTTTGTCCGAAGACAATCTTCCGTGGTCACATGACCAGTGCAACTTAGACACGGAACGTTGTTACCTTCCCACCGAGGTGGTCCCTATTGATCTACTTGCATTTGCATGCTTTCCAACCACTAGGTTGGCGGGAGCTGGGACAAGCGACGGGAGCTCACTCCATCGTGTGGATTCGATCTTACGACTGCTTGGTCTTCTGACCCTGCAACACAGGCTTCCGCGGTTTAGCCCACAGCACCACCACGTCCCTTTTGTGCACTTACCTATTTGTGATGAAATGTTGGTTTATATATCTGCAGCACTGTAGTTAGGAGGCGTCAGTGGTACTGCGTCACAGCTTCTTAGGAGAGTTTGTCCAGAATAAGCAGATGCATAAGGTAGTATGATACAGTATATAACAAACAGGAATCCTTTTCAAAAGTGGTTTTATGGGGGGGGGGAGTGTTGCCTCTGAGCTGTAGAAAGTTTGGGTAGAAGATTTGGCTTTCCCAGACAGAGACTGGTGTTTTTGGAATGCAATTTCCAGTGGCCAATTTGGGCATCCTAATCTAAAAAAATAACTTTCTCTGAACATGATGGTGATGTGATCTCTTTATTTTGAACCCCTTACCTTTATAAGGAACTTGGGAATGTTATTCTTATCACTTTTTCCTTCTGCACCATTATCTTTTACTCTTCCGTAGTATGCTTTGCAGCGATATAAATTTAGGATTGAACTGGACTTTAACCAGACTTTTTTGTTGCTGGGTTTAAAAATACTACTTTCAGGCACTAGTCAAGAAGTTGAACCCAACTAGAACCAGTCATAGTAATGATGTAGATGAAATGCAATGCTCAAGATAAACTAGTGGAAGGAAGGGACTTTTCCCCGATCGTTAATCCCCTCCAGATTAGTGTCCCTTTGGTGATCCAGTGATGGACCCAGCTGAGGGGAAAGTTGCTGGAGAAAAGACTGTGTTAGAGTAGTGGGGAATGGTGGATGAGGGAGTGGATGAGGGGGATTATAGACCAAAGAACATTCACTTTTGGCACACTCCCTTTGTACATCGGTTGCACCCCCACACCCATTTACTCCTGTTTTATTACTGGGCACCTTCAGTCACAGTTGTATTTTCACATGTAGCTTGATGCCATCATTTCAGTTTCATGAATGATACAGTGGAAGATAACTCTGCCTGTTTGAATCCAGACCTGGAACTTCATAAATAGGAGTATATTAATGTCACTCCAGTTTGTCCTGCCTTTTCTTTACTTTAGGTAGCAACATAAGGTGTTCAGCATTAACTGTATAGCTGCAGCAAGCATTGATTTCCTGGGCAGTTGAAAAATAGTTTACTGCCTCATGTCACATCAGAAAACAAAAGGCTTTTTAATTGTGAACAGATGGGATGGGAGGAAGCAGCCATATCTAGGGTAAGAGGCTTCTGGGCAATTTATAGCTTACTATGAAACTGAAAAGCTCAGCCTTCTGGTCTTATTTATGGAGGCATAGTCTTGGCTTCTTGCTTGTTCTGGTTCCGTTTTGCTGCTTTTGCTAGTTTCTCTTTTGAAAATGAAATGGAATGATGGTGTTCTCTGAGTAACTGAACTGAAATTGCTTTAAGTAGCATTATGAGGGCTCTAATAGGGCTTCTTCTGTTGTATTTTTCTGCTTCATTGACTATGCAAAAGCCTTTGACTGTGTGGACCATAGCAAACTATGGCAAGTCCTTAAAGAAATGGGAGTGCCTGACCACCTTGTCTATCTCCTGAGAAACCTATGTGTGGGACAGGAAGCAGCAGTTAGAACTGGATATGGAACAACTGATTGGTTCAAAATTGGGAAAGGAGTACGACAAGGCTGTATATTGTCCCACGGCTTATAAGCAGTGGAAGATAGGAGGGCCTGGCATGCTCTGGTCCATGGGGTCACGAAGAGTTGGACACGACTAAACGACGACGAAAGGAACTGAATGCTTTGCCGTTGTCTCTTAGGAGGGAACGAGAATTATGATGAGTTTCTTTAAAAAGCGTTCTCAAAGCTGATCTCCTCCGGACATGTTAAAGAGCCGCATCATCTCTGACCAGCATGTCCCCCAACCACTCATGAGAAGTTGTAGTCCAACACCGTCAAGGAGACAGTTGTGTTCTGTGTGTATCAGCTGTAAACCTCTCTGTGTAAATCAGTCCATGCATCTTGTAGGCCTGTGCCCGCTTTTGCATATACCTACTTGCTTCAAAATTTCTTACAAAAAATGGGGAGGGGATTTTTTAAAAGCCCTCTTGCACCCTCTAGTGGTTAGTGTTGTTGTTTTAAAAGAACATGTCCTTTCATGGCATGGGGACTTCAAAACTTTACCCCCACAGCCCCTTGAGGGTACAATATAGCTTTTTTTTAAAAAAACTATTTTTTCCCTTTTAATTGTAGGGGCAGGGATTCTGGGGGCCTGCATTTGAGTGCCTTGGGGCTGCATATAGCCAGTGGGTTTGTGCCCATCTACAGTTCTAACCATGATCAACACCCTCAGCAGCTATTGAAACATATAAAACAGCATACCCATTTTTACATGTGCTTTGTATCTTATTTCATGTGGACCTGCTTGGTTTCCATTAATAATCTGGAAGGAAATGCGTGTCCGTTAGGGGCCAGGGAGGGATGGCATTTAAATCTCTAGGTTAAAAATTAGCAAATGGCTTGGGAAGTAGGCAAATGTTATTAAAAAAAACTCTTACTAAGAGAGTCCAGGGTGTTTAGGTCCTAGCGGTACCAAAGAATGATGTAGCTGCTGACACCATCAGAGTTGTTTCCAGTAGAACTGTTTGGTTAGGAAAGGGTGCTGCAGTATCAACCTTACTAAAGATAAGATTCTGACCCCCAGAGTCTCTGAGCCGCCATGGTCCCAGCATCACATTGCTGGGGGGGCAATGTGTAGCCTGTATAATGAAATTGTAAACCACCCGGAGAGTGCTTGTAGCACTATGGGGCGGTATATAAGTCCAAAATAAATAAAAAATAAAAATAAATCGGAGCTTAAGGGGTTTTTCCCTGCTTGAGGCAGAATGTGATTGTTAACTGGGATGGTTGAATTCTGGATTTTCAGACTTTTAGCAGTCTGTGGCTTTCGGCTGAGAATAGGCAACTGTACCCGATCTACTTCCTGGTATAGCGTAGTTGATAATAGTGACAGGCTTGGGCTAAGGAGACCTGGATTCAAATTATGACTCAGCCATGTAAATCTGTGGGGGTAGGTAGAAATGGTAATACCATTCCATAAAACATGTCGCTTATTTTGGAACCCCTGTTAGATCTCTGTAAGGTGGATCTAGCTTGATAGCGCTTAAAACAGGCAGTGTTGGAATTTTGGCAAGCTAGTTTTACACCTCCAGGGCCCACTGTGAACCATATCAGCTCCTCAAGTGAGGAAAAAAAAGAGCCCCCTCCCATCAAAACCTAATGTTGCCGGAAGCAGGAAAAGGCCTTTTTTGCAGATTTTATTTCTCCCAAAGGCAGGGAAGACATTCAGTGGCCACAAAATGGGAGGCCAGGAGGTTCCAAGCCTGCACATTCCTCTCCCCTTCTTTAGACGTTTTGAGAAATGATTTTAAAATACGGTTATAAACAGTGTCACTAAAAAGTTGATCAGGGGTTCCAAAATACTTGTACGTATTATTAGAGTACAGAGAGCTTTAACACTTTGGAAGTGTGCAAGTGAACACGGCAATATTAGAGATAACGGTGAGCTGCAGCCCTGAAAATGTGTGCAGTCTTGGTATATGACAGAGCAGTGGATGAATGCTTTATCGATCCCATAGCTGGCTCCCTTCCTGGTGTATATTTACATAATCACTCTGGAGGTGACAAATAGACCAAACGGGAACAGCAAAGTTTATTATGTAACAGACTTGCCCAGGAGAGTCAGGTGGTTTGTTTGAGATGAGAAACTCAGTTCGGA